TTAACCAAATCTACGCTTAAACTCTGCAAGTCTAACTAGATTTATTGGAAATAAAGAATGTTAACACGTGTAGCGTTTTCTTATCTCAAAGTTCATATCTCAACTTTTTTTCTAGGCAGATAGTTATGGTTTCTGTGTAGGATTCATAGCAATTTACCATTAGGTTTAAATCAAATCAAAAGTTAATATTGAAGACTTAAATAAAAATCACGAATGACACACAACTATTACTTCAGATTTAAATAAATAAAATATGAAATATCTATTATTTTATATTTTATCAAATTTACACCTTAAAAAGCTATTATTTCGAATTTATTTCAACAAAAATCTTAAACAAGGCTTGTTTTAGAGTGTTGTACTACAAATTTCAAGGCTAAAAGATTGCATCCTTAAGGGACCAGGAACATATCCAAACACATGAATATCGAGCTGCTTTTCTTTCCGTGTGGAGATGCGAGAAACTTGTTTTTGCGTATTTTTTGGCAAGGGAAAAGGAAACTCACCTGGCAAACGGCGTCTGTTCCACCTCGTAGATCTCGTTGATGTCGTGACACGACACGAGGAGTCCCTTCAGCCGATCGGCGTCCACGTCCAAAAGTCCGTCCCCAATGGGAAAAATTCCCTTCTCGGTGAACATGGTGTGTGTGTGTATGGTGTGTGCTGGGCTTTGTGTGTGAAGATCGAATCTTCTTTCGATTTTTGGCTTTATAATCCTTCGTTTGATTGCTTTTTGTATTTTGCGGGGGGTAAATTCAAATCTCAACTGCACAAGAACCAAAAAAAATTGTAGTTTAGTGATAAACACACGCGCTTCAAAATAATTCTGCGGAAAACGTTGCGCGCGCTCTCTTTTTCCACGGACAGAGAGAGAAGACAAAATTCCAGTACAAAACAACAAAAAAAAATTATAAGAAGCAAAAACTATGCAACTGCAGCACACACACACACGCGCGCAAAGAGAGGCCCGAAAAAAATTCCCGCGTGTGTATGTATGTGTGATGCTGTTGCTGCTCCGTTGTTTTTGTTTTTGTTATTTTCGGTATTTTGCAAGTACCGTTCTCTACGAAGAACTCCTCTTCTGCTTCTTCTTCGTTTAGCAAAATGCGAAAAACGGCCCGCAGATTTTGGCCAGGTTAATGTTGTTTTTGTGGCGGAGGTACAAGAAACTCGCAGCGAAGCAGCGCGCACGAACCGTCCGTTGGCGACGCGAAATTTCAATTGCTCGCGTATCGGCTAGAGGTGGAGAAGCATCGATGTCGGCATCGATGTCATTAAAAAATATCGGTGATATCGATGTATCGGTGTTTGGCCGGGCATAATCGTTGTACTTCCATCTCTGACAAATATCGAAAATCTCACTTCAGTTTTTGCGCGCACTCTGTTAGTTTCAGCTTCCACTCCAGCTATAACACAATATTTACTGCATGCCAAGTGCACTTTGATAATAGCATAGTAAAATGCTTGCTAATCTGCTAAAATATAAGAGGTTCAAATTAGGGACATTTTTAAAAATTCAAATATTTATTAATAGATGGTGTCATCGATGGTTATCTGTGTTTTAAAAAAATATCGATGTTTTTCTGGGCTTCATTTTCCATCACTAGAATAAACTACGTTTTCCTAACAGAAATGTTAAATTACAACGTTTTCCTAACAGAAAAAAGGAAATGTTATCCTCATTTCCCGCGCATGGTCAGTCTGCGCCGAATTCAAAACATGTTTTGTTTTAAAAGATTAAGTTTTCCTTTTAGAGTCATCCAATGTTTCGTGCGTTCTGATGGCGCCTGTTGTCGGGGCGTGGGGCGTGGCACAGCCCACAAATAGTTGGCATCTCACGTCTCTATTGAATTCTAAATTTTATATTTATATTTATGCTTGCAGTTCCCTGGCTTTTCCCCTCCCCTCCAACATTTTCCGCCGATTTCCCTAGCGAGTGTAGGTGTGTCCGCCTGCACGAGTGTGTGTGCTCCACTTGCAAACCGATGCACATTTTTTATACACTAAAAGAAAATCTATATAAAAATGCATCTAAAGATATCAATTTGATCTACAAGATGCTTTTGTATTATTTAAAAATATATTTTTTGAACTTTAATCAAAACCATGGAAAATAGTGGTCGTATGTTAAAATGTCATACCTCGTTACTAAATTTCCAATAAAGTTGTAGTCACAGAAAATATAAAAAAAATCATGACAAAATATTTTTGACAAAAATTTGGATTATAAAAGAAAGCATATAAAATCCCTAAATATTTAAATTCGAACACTGTTTCCATTTAACTATGATCATTAAAAGTTGTACATAATAACTTTAAGAAAGGAACAGTATATGTGAATTCCAAAAACTATAACTTTCTTGAAACTGAAAGTAGGAATTGAATAATTGATAACGAAATCAAGTAGTTGAAAAATAACATAATTTGAAGAACCAATCCGTAGTTCCCATATTTTTTGACGGTGTGATCGGATTGGATGGGATATGCATTGGATATGCGTTATGTTTGCATCTTTTCGTGTGTGTTGCATATATTTTTGTCACCACGACGGCATCTCAGGAATGCGGAGCACCAGAAATAAACCAAGTGCAAAAACCTTTAGCATCCTTCTATTTATAATGCCGTCGTCTCCGGATCTCCTCGAGTTGTTTTTTTTGGCCGGGCGGTCGCCTCGTTCCTGATTTTCTTGCTGCGAACTCGCCAAAAACTCCTCTTGGCAGCCGTTCAAGTTTAGCAGATCCGGCTTTTGACCTACGGAAAATGCTTGGCCACCGCAAAAATAGAAATTCGGATCGGCAAGCGATCGCAAGTAACCCGAAAAGTGGAAAATGGGAAGGAAAGGAGTATTTTCTATTCGACAGTTGGGGTCTTTGCTTCTATTAACTATTGAAAAGATCATTTGGAAATTAAGATTTTTATGAATTCTAAAAGTAACTGAAAAAAGCTAATAACAAAATTAACATAATCAAGATACATAAACTATTAGGGTTTTGTATTTAAAGACTTTAATTAATTCGTGAATGTAATTATTAACTTTTATTTGAAGGTTTTCCTAACGCATTTAATTATTTATCATAAATACCTCAATTAAATGTTTTTGTGCTGAAAATAAATAACCCTGCTCATTCCTCCAAATACCGGACACCTCTTAAAAGTTTTTTCAAAAGAATTTCACAAATTCCGATATCAATCAAATCTGTATTTAAAATAAATGTACATTTTTCTACTCCTGAATTTTTACGAATAGTAGCTTCATAAATATAAATGAATGCTTATATGTACATATATATTTATATAAATCCGATACCGACACCAGCAACGAAAACAAGGAAAACTCTTTTGAATGCAAATATGCCCTATTTCATTTGGAAGTGCTTAAATGGCCAATATATGTATGTATTTGACTCTTCAATAGAAATATATATACATACATGTAGGTTTTAATTAACAAATGCTGCTCACGTTTGATACGGAATGCCTCTGCTTCAAAAATTCATAAACCAATCCTTAAGGATTTAACAGATTAGCTGCCCATTTTAACTGAACATTTTTTCTGAAGATACAAATGCATTTCATTGCACCATGCATAATTGCAAATCCGGGAAAACACTTAAGCTTCAAGCAGAGTAGTGTGCTATTGACAAGTTCCAAAAATGCGAAGATGTCCAGCCAGCTTACTACCTTATTTTGTAATGTAACTATTTCCCATCATAACACAATTAACATAATGTTCCTAAATCGAAAGTAATGGTTTTAAGGTCGGTGAAACAAACACGCACAGTCGGCTTACCACAAAAGTTTACAGTTTAATGAGACATAAAGTGGGGATTTGGTTTATTTATATAAAAAAAAGATGCGGGTTCAGCTGGCTGCTCCTGAGACTTGCTCCTGGGCCAGCTACTTGTCCTTCTTGTCGGCGGCCAGGGCGTTGAACAGGCGGTTGACCTCGTTGGCCACCAGGTTGTCCAGGACGATGCCGTTCTGGTCGATGAAGGCGGCGCAGGACTTGTTACTGCTCTGCTCCCGGCGCTTGCCATTTTTCGAGTCGCGGACGCTGAGGGTCAGCAGGTACTTGTCGTCGTACTTGCGCATGTCGGAGCTGGCCTCCCACAGGCGCTCCCGCTCCTTGTCCTTCTGCAGGGCCACCGCGAAGGTGCCCTTCTCGCGGAAGCTGGAGTGCAGGGTCAGGATGCCCAGCAGGGCGAAGTAGGCCAGCACGCTGAACAGGAGGACGGGGCGCGACTGCGGGAATGGGTGGGTGAAGTCCCAGGCGTGGGCCATGATGGCCACGCCCACGGCGAGGGCGCAGAGGGCCAGTCGGGTGTTGACCAGGCCGAATTGCTCCTTCAACTGGGGACGGTCGCCCAGGAGGCAGGTCTTCACCGCATCATCCAGGGCGTGCTTCACCGCCGATCCGTCCCACTTGTTCACCTTCACCAGCTGGCAGGGATACAGGCAAGTCGGTTAAATGCAAACAACACAAACAAAATGCACAATGACGTGTCTTGGAAACCATCTCCATGGACCAGTTGCCAAGCCGGCATCCGCTTTTCTCACCTCCTCTCCCGGCTGCGACTTTTCCTCCTTCTTGGCCATGTTTAGTATCTCTTTGCTAGCCTTTTGCGGCCCTTGGTTATTCAGGAAATCGTGTGTGGCAACAGGAAACACTCTTTTCGCAGGAGATTCTTTCCTTTTTTTTTTGTGACAACGCGACAACAAAATTCTATCGACTATCGCACTGGCTCGATAACAGATCTGTCTTTCCGCGTTGCCAGATCGGAGAACTCAAAAAAAAAATACCAATTTGGTATTCTTTCTTTCAAATTTAACTAAGTGCGCGCGTCATTCAAACAGTAAGGGTATTTATCATATATTTTTAAAGCACTTGAAATGCTAAACGCTAAATGCACAAATAATTTTGTAACTTCCATTTTGACTGCCGAAAAACTAAACAATAATGAGATTTAATCAACTTGCAATTGTACTATAGAAAAATACAATTAGTTTTAACAATGTTTCTTTCTTAGAAATATTTATTTAACATTTATTCATCGTTGACATTATACAAAAAGCGTTCAATGGAAACGAAACAGGCTGAGTCAACTAGTACATATACAAAAAGCAGCTTATAGCAAAAAAAAAATGTTTTTCAAAAAAGTGTCTATAAATACAGAGTATGGAATCAATTCACATGGACTTCAACTGTGCCATCAGGTCCTCCACACTGGTGTCGTCCGTGGGCGCAGTGACAGTTTCCGCAGGAGTTTCGCTGGACTTTTCCGGTGCTTCGTAGGCCAGTCTTAGACCCTCGCCGACCTCAGAGCTTTTTGGTGGTTGTGGATCACTTTCCGGCGCATCTTCTGCCACCAATTCAATGCCCCACTCGTTGGTGGCATGGAGTGGCTCCTCGCTGACCGGCTCCTCCTTAATCACCACTGGCTTGGGCCTGGCCTGGAACTCCTTTTGCCTGACCAAACAGTTCCGGTCATCGCACTGCGGATTCGGCTTGAGCGTCATCTTGGGAAAGAAGTCGCTGAGGGCATTGTAGCCCAGATAGTCGGAGACTTCGCCGAAATTCAGCAGATACTTGAGAGCGTTCTGGACGAGAAATCCCGCCGTAATGCCCATGGTCGTGGGCAGTGAGGCGGCGCACACGCCCTCCCTTTTTAGGGTCTTCTCGTCAATGTTCTCGGCCACCACCAGTGGAGGGGCACAGGCGAAACAGGCGGTATCCCCGGGTCGGATGAACTGAATGTGCCCCGAGACGGCGTTCTCCGAAACGCCCGACTCAAACCAGTTCAGATTGCGCTCGTTGCAGGCCGCATTGATCGCCATCCGTGCCTCGAAGTTGTCCACACAGCTGAGCACCAGATCCACCGGCTGACCAGCAACCTGACCGCTCTGCGAGATCGTGTCCAGGAAGCGATCAAAGTTCTCCACCGTCGTGATGTTGTAGTTGTGCGTTTCGATCCGCACGTCCGGATTGATAAAGCTCAGCGTGGCGGCGGCGGCCTCCACCTTGGAGAGGCCCGCCTGGTCGGGCGTGAAGAACAGCCGGTTCATGTTGGCCAGCTCCACCTTGTCGTAGTCAAACAGGATCAGTTTGCCAATGCCGCAGCTGCAAGGAATAAAGACATTAATAAGGCATCCACTTTGCATTTGCTTACATTGTTAACATGTTAAATGAAATACCTGGTCATGTATAGAATAAACATAATTGTATTATCAATTTTTGGGCATAGTTTCAGAGGGACTTATAACCTTTTAAAATCTAATTGTATGTACTAACTTTATAGAATATTCAAAAAACCAAAGTAATCATAGTATCATTAGTTCTCTCTATTCATATTAAGCCACACACATCAGTATGTAAACATAATACATTTATCATGGGTATTTTGGGTATCCTACCAACTTTCCTGGGAAAAACAAGTGGCTTTCCCAATATCGAATATCTCATCGAACCACACAGCAGTGATTTCTTGCAGTGCACTCACCGTGTCAGCATGTCGGCGGTGACACTTCCCACGCCGCCTACGCCCACAATGGCCACCGCCTTGTCGCGGATCCGCTCGTAGTCCTTGACGATGTTCATCCGCTGCAGGGCCATCAATCGGCTGTAGGGATTGGAGTCCACCACCTCGGCGGACATGCGTTCGATGCGGTCGCGCACTGGGCGACTTCCGCTGCCACTTGCACCCGCACTCCCGCTGATGAGCCGCTGCTCCTCCATCTCCGACTTCATCTCGGCGATGATCGCCTGGAGCTCGTCGATGGCGTGCGACATCCTGGCGATTGTGAATCCGGATCCTGAATCTTGTGCGCGGCAAAATAGCCTGTAAACTTTCGCTTTCGATTTCGATTTCGCTTCGCTGTCGCCGTGTCACTTTTGGACAGTGTTACCAGATGGCCAAACTGCATTCTCCCCCAAATGCTGTTAGCCAGCCCTGGTCTTTTACTTTTCCCCCTATTTTTAAGAGCGCGCTTAGTTTCAAACATGTTGTTATGGAAATAGTAGCAATGAAAACAGGTAGTGATATTGCTTATATTATATTTGCTAGCATACTAAACTGAGTTTTACATGATTTCACACAAAAACAACATGGAATTTCCAAAAAAAGAACTGAGTTTTACATGATTTCACACAAAAACAACATGGAATTTCCAAAAAAAGAACTCTTAACTTCACCCCTAAAAATAATTAAACCCTTATATTTAGGGGGAAGCCCTCGCTTGGGAACATTGACTAGGGATGACCCAACTTCGATAGACGAATATGAAAATACCAAAATAAGTACATTGTGCTGGGAAATGCTGGATATGGCGCGCTTATTTAAATGGAAAGCATCGGCATTTTCAAAACACAGTAAAGTTGTGGATAATTCAAAGAATCCTTTAATGTTTAAATTTTTGTTTTACACTTTTTCTAAGATAAAAGATTTTTGAAGCCCAGTCTAGTCTCAACTGGGTACAACCATTTTTTCAGATCGGATTTTGATTGCCGCCTTAGTAAAGTTGAATAAGTTTTCTATCAACTGTCCAGATGCATTTTAAATGAATTGATTCGTACAATGGATTTGTATAATTACACAAAAGTTTTATTGTCAAAATCATTACACAAAAAAGGTATTATAATTATTAAATAACCAAAAAAAAAGAACGTTAAAGGAAGATGACGATAGTTGTGGTTGCTTTTCGTGTTAAATGCGACAAAAAAATAATTATTATAGGTACTATTCAATAAATCGAGTGTTGGAGCACGTTTATTATTTAATATTATCAATATTACTGTATAAACCGGTGACTATCACTTGCCAACAAGTAGAGATATATGTATGGATAAGTGTCCGTTCTGTGTAGCTTGTTGTGTACGGTGTGCTGGGGTGGGTCACCCGGTTCGCCGGGGTCACCTGGTTCCCCTGGATCACCTGGTTCACCTGGTCCGCGGCTGCAGTCGCACGCGGAAGCCCTCCTCCCGCTTCAGGATGATGTCCGCCTGCAGCTTGAAGTCCGATTCGGTCAGGTCCGAGTAGACACGGTAGTTCCGCAAAATGGTCGACAGGAGGATCTTCAGCTTGAGCATCGCGTACTTGCGCCCTGAAATTAATTAAACTATACCATGAGAATTTTGGTATGAAAATCTATCTATGGTAAAGCCCTGAGATCTTGTTAATATATTTATTACTTTTTAAACGTTAGGTGCTTAGTTGTATTGAATACTCAAAATTGCAATAAGTAAGTGTTGACATCTTTCACATTTCCGTTCATTCAAATACATAGTTAACTTCTGAAAATATATATATTTGGATTTCTAATCCTTAAACATTTAAAACAAGAAGGTCTTTAAAAATGTTGTGAATTTTATTTAGATATCCATACAAATTAGGCATGGTTTCCAAATATGATTAATTAAAATATCTAAATAGACATGCTATTTTATATGTATATTTGATTTGATTTTTTATTAGGTATTTTCATTTATTTCCAAGTTTCCGATGTGTTGTTAAAAGGTGGCCCATAACTGGACTTCCGAAGTCCATAACTTTACCAAATTTTATCCGATTTCAAAGTAGCATACCTCTAAAGACTCGTAATTTGATTCTCAAAAAATTTGCATCAAAATTTTTCATTTTAGCGTTGGTCCAATTTTTGACCCATTTTCATGTCATTTATTTCCAAGTTTCCGATGTGTTGTTAAAAGGTGGCCCATAACTGGACTTCCGAAGTCCATAACTTTACCAAATTTTATCCGATTTCAAAGTAGCATACCTCTAAAGACTCGTAATTTGATTCTCAAAAAATCTGCATCAAAATTTTTCATTTTAGCGTTGGTCCAATTTTTGACCCATTTTCATGTCATTTATTTCCAAGTTTCCGATGTGTTGTTAAAAGGTGGCCCATAACTGGACTTCCGAAGTCCATAACTTTACCAAATTTTATCCGATTTCAAAGTAGCATACCTCTAAAGACTCGTAATTTGATTCTCAAAAAATCTGCATCAAAATTTTTCATTTTAGCGTTGGTCCAATTTTTGACCAATTTTTCCTGGTGATGCTGATCAGGAATATATATACCTTATAGGGTCGGAAATGTCTCCCTCACTGCGTTGCAAACTTTTGACTGAAATTATTATAGTATACTAATATTTATATATTATTTTAGCAGGATTACAATTCTCATATTTTTTTTGGCCAATTATTCTTTATTTTGTTATATTTAGTATCATCATCCGACTTTTTAGTTTATATGCAAGTGTGTTTATTCCGTTATGATAAAAATTGTGTGTTTATTGAAAATAATGTTTTTTAAAAAATAAATGCCTAGAGAGAACTAACAAAAGTTTAATATCCAAGCGTTTTTTAGTCAAGCGTTCTCAAAAACTCCATAAACTGCATCTTTTTTAAAGCTGTTATCGAATCTTACATAGTTTATTTATTATTTTGATATTAAGGGGCCTTTTTTATACGATTTCGTTGCTCTTAAGGCTATTAAACTCTTTTCAGATTTAATGCTTGTGTTTTATAGTTTATAGCGTATGGCTTATCCATGATTTTATTGCAGTGTAGGATCTATAACTCACCCACACAGCTGCGCGGTCCCGCGGAGAAGGGCACGAAGGCGTAGTAGTGGCGGTTGGCCTGCCGCTCCGGCAGGAAGTTGTCCGGATCGAAGACGTTCGGATTGGCGTAGACCTTCGGGTTGCGGTGCAGCAGGACGGTGGCCACCGTCACCGTGGCGCCCCTGGGGATCACGTAGTTGCCCGAGTTCAGCTTGAGGTCCTCCTGCAGTTCGCGGGCGATCAGCGGGACGGGCGGGTACATGCGCAGCGTCTCCATCAGACACCGCTCCAGATACTTCATCTCCAAGGTGTCCTGCAATTTACACAAAGATACAGGAATACATATGGTGTTAATATTATACTAATACAATCTCGAAAGTACTGACTTTGTAAACATATTCACACACATTGCACTGAATGTTGTTCAGAATATTTAAAGATGGATTAATACAAATTGTATTATTCTACTTTAAACTATATTTATTTCAATATTGTAATCATTAAATGCGAGAATGTGATGGTTTACATTTACAAATATAAAAAAAAAACACTTCAGGCAATAAAACATTTTTCTAAAGAATAAAAACTGAAAAAAAAGTTTAATGTTTCACTAAAAACCTAAAATTTTAAAACGCATTTAATAAAATTTTTTATGGACATTTAGTCATATTTTTCAATTGAATAAAAACACTATAGAAGTCTTTTACAATAAATTAAAATGGAACTATTGATTTGTAATGCTATGTATGCATAAACAGTAAGGATAGGCAGCTATTTTGACAAATACCAATGATGAATTTTTCAATTTGTTACCTAATGAAGTTAATATTGTCCTAGTTATTGATTAAGTTTAAGCTCAAGTATGATGAATATTTAGAAATGTGCATAGTTACTATGGGTTCACCCACCTGAAACGTGGCCGGTCGCTGGGAGTCGCCGAAGATGGAGTCGAGCTCGGCGAGCACGCGGTCCTGGATGTCCTGGTGGATGCCCATCAGCGAGAGGAAGAACGAGGAGCCGGCTGCCGTGGTGTCGTGGCCCTCGAACATGATGGTGTCCACCTGCTCCTTGATCTCGGTGTCGGTGATGATGGCCCCGTTCTGGGCACTCTCGAGCATCAGGTCGAGGAAGGCCAGCCGTTTCTTCTCGCCAATGTCGTTGTCCTCCACATCCAGGTCGTCCTTCAGTCCGGCCGACTGGCCATAGGAGAGTCCAGCCACCGGGGTGCCCTTTTCATTCTCATTTCCGGCCACCAATGGTTCTTGCTGCTTCTCCTTTTCCTGCTCCCTTTCCCTTTCTAAGGCAGCCGCCTTCAGTTCACATTGGGCCAGGGATCCGCGGGTGCCCTGCTCGAAGGCCGCCTTCTTGCTCTTGATCACCTTGGTGGTCAGGCCGTGGATGATGTTCAGCAGGCGGCCCTGCTCCTTGTAGTACCTGGTCAGGGTGAACACGAACTCGTTGCGCAGGAAGATGCTGCGGTGGCGGGCGTGCAGGATGTCGCACATCCGCATCACGGCCATCGCGTACTCGAAGCCCGACTTGTCCTGCGTCTTCTTCGACACGCCCATCGCAGTCTCTGGAAGGCCAGGGAACACTCAGAAAAACAGACTCCAAAATGGGTATACAGTAATGTGATATTATCACGGATTTCACGCATTTCATATTATTAATAATATTTCATAGAATTAATAATAGTCGAAAAAAAGGAGTGATAGGAGTTCGTTCGTATATCTTTGTATGAGTTATGAGTCTTTAGTCTTTAGTCCTCTCATATATGAAATAGTTATTAAAAATTATACAACAAATTTAGGTATTTGTTTATATATAAAATAAAAAGTATTAATATAAAAGCTTAGAAATTTTCGCACTTCAATTTCAGTGAATTAAACAGAGTTTTCCGAGCCTTCTATTTATGATTTGATTTTAAAATTTAAATTATAAATATCTATAACCATATTTTATTAATTTTTTCATGATATAAATTACAATTGACATTTTGGGAGACTGATTATATTTTCAAACCACCTTTTTTAAACGTTTTCCCTGATCATTTAAACGTTTATGCCCTTTATTCTCATTAATATAGCTAAAATCGCAGTTAAGCATAATCTAATCATGTGCTAAATAAGACAGTTAATTCTAATTTTCGCCCAGTGCAGAATGGGATCGGACTCGGTGTTTTGGGGATCGGGGATGGACCCCAGCGCAAATGGGGGGAAGTGGAATGCACTCGCCTGACCCAAGCGCCAATTGAACTTAACAAACAGACAACAGGCGGCGGAGGTAGCCCCTGGTCACCCCCCACCCCCTCACCCCCTCACCACCCCGGCTGTCTAATTGTAGATACAATGCATAAATAGATCTATAGATGACAGCATAAACGAGCTTACGGATCCGCAGATCCGCTTGGAGAGTAGAATGTTTTTGTGCTGTGGGAAAAATGCGAGGAAGGAATTCGGCATTTGTTTTCGATTCAAGAGTGTTTTCCGGCACTGCGAAAGGAGTTTTTAGGAACTTCCTAATCCAAACAAGGTTTTAAATAGACTAATTTGTTAATAGGTACTTTAAATGTAAAACAAATATGTGGTTAAATAAGTCCCAGACCCGAAAATATTTAATAGGCTTCAAATAAATTTAAAAAAAATCTAATAACATAGTTTATGGTTCGAATAAATATTTTAAATTCAAATGTTAGTCAGCAAAATAAGTTGTAAAATGTTATCACAACTAATAATGAGAAAATCCTTTACAGCTAAATTTAGTTGATCTCACGAATTTATGATTCAAAATAAAATAAATTGAAGTGGGCTTTACTAATATTACAAATATTTACCAAATGGAATGCTTAAGTAAAAATAATTAAAGTTTCTTTGCGCATTAATACATTTGATTTTTTATCGCCAAAAATTAAACTAATGCTTTAGTTATTAAATACTTTGTTTTGAATTGATTTAAAACATTTAAGTTATATTAGTCTTATTAGAATTTCAGTTATAGAGGTTGATACATATTCCTTAAGATTTTCTATCCCAAAAGATTATACTTAATGACCAATTTTTGATCAGGGTGTATAGTACATAAACAATTCCATTTCGAGATGACTTGCCGGGAAATAGGAAATCGGGCTTATGCAATGACATTTGGTTTTTCCTGCCCATTCTTACGATTCGAAATGAAAAAAAATGGAAAAATGAAAAAATTTGCGGCTTTCGTTGAGATCTTAATTGCTAATTGCCCGTTTGCGTCAGACCCCATAACCATAATCACAGTATCGCCGTGAACAACAACCTCCGTCGGCCGTTGCATTCAAATTTTCCTGATTAAATGCTTAATGGCAATGCGACGTGCCTTTAATTGCAGCCCATTGCAGCTCAGCCCGGGATTCGGTGCATTTCGTTGCAGTTCGTTGCAGTTCGTTGCAATTCGGTTCGCTTCGGTCCCATCCAGTTGCATTCTGTAATCTTGGCTGCATTTCAATTGACGGGATTGGGCCTGTTCTATGGCTCTAGCTCTACCTCTACATATATCTGACTATATGGTGGCTATAGCTTTGGCTCTAGCTTGGCTCTGGGATTATGCAATGGCCTAGAAATCAATCCGAAATCGGACGAGCAATGCAGCGATGCAGCGACTACGACAATGTCATTAACATTGGCCGTTTTCCAATTTGTCTGGCTCTTGGCGGTTTCACTTTTTTCGAGACCCGCCGAAACGTGTTTGGCTTTAAGCGAATTGCCGGCTGGGTGGCATTTGCATGACCCACCTAACGACACATTTGGGTGCATCAAAATTACAGGGATAACCTTCACCTGCATCTACCAATGGGCGTTGTTTTTAGGTGAATCAGACTGGCAGGTTATTGTATTACGATGTTTAGGAGTAATCTGAAGTTAATTATTGTAAATATAAAGTTTTTACTAATAGCCCTTTAAAGTATTTTCCAAAAATCCAACAACTTTGCCTCAGACTGAGTTATAATAGTTGGCTTGAATGTATTGAATGGATTAATTTAAGCCAGGCAACGAAAACAAATCGTTTTTTAAGACTCTTACTTTTAAAGAACTACTACGATTTTCATTTAAAAAGGTCACAGCTAAAACTAGTTTTAAAACAAATAAATCTCTTATCACACTTGCCCACAAAGTGCTGAAAATTAACAAAATTGGATACAAAATAAAAGTATGAAATAACGAAAGCTTTCAATTCCTGATCTAAAACTGTATATGAACTGAGTTACCATTAGCGAGTTGAATTAAATAATTATGGGGCTTTCTGGAATGTGATCGCAAATCACTCTACTTGCGATATGCATCCATATCAACCGCAAAGGACCCTAATTAAGGAAGCCAACTCTGAGTTACGATAGTTAGTTTTTGATAGGGGAAGACCTCTCATTATAGAACGATCGTTTGGAGGACAAACCCAACAAAGCCAACCAGTTTGCAGCAGTTTGGCAGATGGCGGTGGCATAATTCGGTTAGATCGGGGCCGGGATCTGATATATATGCAGATCTATGTAGGCACATATACATATGTAGGAACACACACATATCTCGTTTGCGCCCATTGTGGGGCCACAACAAAAGCGGCTGAAATTTTTGATTTGCCAGTATATAGGGAAATGGGTCTGCACTCAATTGTGTGTGGCATACAATATAATGTATCACAATATAGTATGTTTTGGCGGAGATTAGGTGACTTGGGCACACGCATATAACTGAAACCGAAATGATGCTGGATTTAAGTGTGTGTATGGTGTGGGCATGATGATGATGATGATGATGATGATGATGATGGTGTCGCTGCGAGTGCGTGAGAGTTGACTGTACTTTTGTGTAATCACCATAGAAGCGTATCACGCATCTATCTCCATATCTATCCCTATATCTGTATCTGTATCTGTATCTGTTCACTTACCCAATAGAATCTCCACGGTTGCCTCGCTCATGTAATCATGGCAATCAAATGTGCGACCATCCTCCGCACGCAGTTTCCTCACCACATTCCGCGAGTTCTCGTTGAAGAGCTCGATGAAGCTCTTCAAGACGTTCAGATGGAATGTGGGTGCGATCAGTTTGCGGTGCGATCGCCATTTTTGACCTGCAACAACAGATGGGCAGATTCAGTGTCTGAATAAAGAGACTACCCAAAAAGTGTAGCCCAAAAACAAAGGTTTCATCTTCAAAAGAAACGTGGCTTTAAATAGCACCCATACCATCTTTCATATTTTATTCTATTTCATTGCATTTAAACTAATTATCATAAAAACATATGGCAAATTCCATTTTTTCAAAGGGAAACTAACATTAAATATTACCTTGTGCTTAGTTTTTTCACTACTCCAAAAACCATTTTTTAGTTTATAGTTAAGCTCATGCTAACAGATTTACTGTATAATGAATCTCTAAAAAAAACGATCAAACTAAATGCCTATTTATTAAAATTTGGTTCAATAATCCCAAAAATTATCTCCAATCAAGTTATATTTATTTTCTGTTGCTGAATAATATCAAATTGAATAAAAAGTATTTTTAAACAACATTCGTTAGTTTTCTATATTTTTATCAAGGCTTACTGCAAACTTTAAAATCTTTCGTATATTAAAATTTTATCTTGAACCTAAGGAACTTTAATTTGAATGTGATTTTTACTTATGCGTTGAAAAAATCTGAGAAGGTCCCTGTCCTTTTTTTAATTTAAATATTAACTTTAATTTTGAAAACTTTGCCTACAATCGACTCTCAAATTTTTCTCTGTGACTTTTCTGCGACGTTGATTTTATTTATAGCGGCATTGTTGTGCCAACTGTCAGGCTAGCGGATCGCTTAATTAATTTATGATTCCGCAAATTGCATTAGTGGCAAGTGGTCCCCAAACTGGCACCACCCCTGCCCCCCCTGCCCCCCTGAAGTCCCATCCCCTCCCCCTCCCCCTCCCCCTCACCTGTGCTGATCAGCAGGCCATCGCCCAACCAAGGCTTGAAGAACTTGTACTCGGATGCCTTGTCGATGTAGACGTGGCTGCTGAGGAGCAGCTCCACGTCCCGGGGATCGTAGATGAAGACCACCAGCTTGGGTCCGATCCACATCTTGGCTATGTGCTCGAAGGGGGCGCTCTTCCGGATGACTGTTTTGAAAACAGCTGCGAACGATGGCGAGATATTTGAAACTTTTCGGAATATTTTGCAATTGGGAAATTGTCCCTTTAAAAGCAGGGGTAAAACTTATAATTTCAAGATGCCTCACTTCATTTTCTATTTAAATATTCAAATGTAATAAAAAAGAAATAAATTAAAATATATATTAAGGAATCTTCTGTAGAAAAAGCATTGTAATTCAATTCTGGATTGAAAAATGAGCATCATATACGATCATAATACTTAATAAAAATCTATTTTACACTTTATTTACATTTTAAATGATTAATGACTCTTAGGCAAAAAACTATTTAAAAAGTTTCCAGAGATGTATTAATTTTGATGAACTTTCATTAAGGATAAAGTTTTGCATTTATTTAATAAAAACTATAACAGGAAATAAATTATTTTTTAAGTGGAAAAGCATATAAATTCCACACACTTTTTTTGTAATTTAACTATGTGCTTTATTTTACTTAAAACTCAAATTAAAATAATGCAAATACCATCAACAAATATTTATATTTTGAAGAATAAACATATCAATTTCCTAATGAATTTAATAGTTGAGTAAGTCGTGTTAATATTTGATATTTTAGAATGCTATGGAATTAAGAAAAAACTTTGATGCTTTTTGTTACAAATACTAAATTAAATTGTTGTTCAAATCAAATATAATGTCGTTGGAAATGAATATCTTCTACTGATATTTAGGTAATCCAAAAAACAGGATGTGGAAAATATTGAATTAGTATTTAATGTTTACACTTCCCGATTTGGGCTAATGCTAGACTTAACTACGGCATTTACATGAGGCGGGTCCAATCACATCGAACAGGTGGCCCACGATGGGCAGGCCCCTGGGTCCCGGCAGTCGTCCGGCCAGCCTGTACAGGTGGGCCCGGGATAACCGCCAGTAGATGTACCACAGCACCAGGGTGGGCAGCAGCAGGAAGTAGAAGACGCTGCTGGGTGACCCCAATGCGGCGTCCTTCTTCAGCACCTCCATGGCTCTGGATGGGATGGGATCTTGATCGGGATCGGGATCCTAAATCCTGTCTCCTATCCTATCTCTCCTCTCTCTCTCTCTCTCTCGTACTCCCTCTCTCTCTGTCTGCTGTCAACTTGTTCACCAGCGAAAAACACCAAACAAAAAATCGAATCGGAACACGCACACTTCCACTTCCCAGGAGCTATAGCTATCGATCAGCTATCCATGGGATGGGATGGGATCGTATCGGATCGTATCGGATCGGATCGGATCGGATGGGACCGGATGTTACTCGCTGCTCGACTAGCGCACAACTAAACGGTGACAGCCCCGCGCCGAGGCATCCAGCGAAAATGATCACGAAAATCAACACACACGGCACACACACGGCATGCACAACCCACACACACTGGGGGTGGCGGAGTTACGGACCCGGGACTCGACTCGACTCGACTTAACTCAACTCGATTCGCAGATTTATAAATCAGAAACGATGGACCCGCACTCGCAATCGAAATCGGAATCGCACTCCTCGCGCCTCTTTTCCAGCGACTAGCCAGCGGCCACGGTGCGAACGACTTTTATAGCCAACAATGTGCAGCATATGTACACTGAACAAAATATAGATACTTTACCTACTATGTTTATAGGTCTCTTCCATAGGAAAACCCTCGTTATTTGCATTTAAAATCACCTTTCCTTAGAATGATCCTTTTCTCTTCAAGTCTATTAAAACTGATTATATAGTTTGGCTAAATCTTTAAAGGCACAAATATAGGTTAGTTACTTCTTTATTATATTTGGTGGTAATTTCCATAAGCCAATTAATTGTCCTTTCTTTACATTTAAAAGAACTTATTCGCAACTTTCAATTGTTAGGAATATTGTTTTTATGGGCAAATCTAAAACAACTGATAATAGGGGTTGGCTAGTTCTGAAAAACATTTTTAAGCGAATAGAAAACATGTGACTCTTTATCATATTAGTAGACCTCAAAAAATAGAAACTTTGGTTATTTAGATTCCTAACAAATAGTCAACAATGATTTTATGGACCTTCCACATTAAATAAAAAGTATTTCAAGCTATGCGAATATTAGAAAATAAACGTTGTTTGGCCTTATTTTGTTCTCTAAGCATTTTTATAAACTTAGTATGTTAAAATCACTTTACATTTATACCCAAAATGTATTATTTTAATAGTATTATTGTAGTACTATTAATTGCACAGTATTTTTGTATTGGTTCACCAAAACAATGTGTGTCCCTTTCAGTATTTAAAAAATTTAAGGTGTCTAAATTTTAAGGTGTCTACATTTTAACCGATCTTGGTATGAAAAGGGCACAAGATATTTTGTGCAGTGCTAAAGTAAATAAACGAGGGGTGGGTTTGGTTTGGGGTCTCTATAGAATCGTATCTCAGGTCTTCACGAAGCTCCCGGTGAAAGTTCCATTCGTCATGAAAAGTGAGCTTCAAAATCAAGCAGCGAATTTAGTCAAAGCTTTTGGCTTTAAGCTAATGTAGCAGGAAATTAATTAATTATACTTAAGCCGGTGTAGTTACAAGCTTTAAAATGTGGAAACTATGAGCATGGACTCAACAAGATCCCTTGATTAACTATAATTTTACTTAGTTAATTTAAATATATCTCATGAATAATAGCGTTAACTTATAATTTACCAAAATAAATCATTTCCATATTTAATTAAATATATACTAATATTTTCCAGCCATTAACAGAACACATACAAATTGTTGGAGTCTTTTTGTGGTTTATTTTAAGATGACATTTATGCATGGTATGGACAAGAGTTACAATTAAGATTACAAATAACTTAAGCTACCTCATACGGTTAGAATTCCTCAAAAAAAAAAAGATTATCTATGACTACAGATATTAAATCACCTGCCGCGCTTTGCATGTGTGAGAGTGTGTTGTGGCCTCAGTACGTATGAGCAATGTTATTGCCTAGACATTTGACTATATAATAGCTATAGGTACACTATAGGACACTAACTAATGGAAGTCTGGCAGTGCTGCAGTAGCCAGTGCCCACTGTAACCCACGGATGACGATCAGCAGCCTAACTACGTTTGATATTTTTCTTGATATTTTGTTTTTCTATCTGGCTACCCAAAATTATGCAGCACTTTTTTACGATGGAAGCTCTCTCGCTGTCTGGTTTTCATTTTTTTGTTTGTTTGTTTTTGCATTACTATATTAGACAGAGGACTCGTAGATGACGATTTGCAGGACCTTGGGCTTGTTGTTCTGGGCCTCCTTGACCTCCTTCAGTATGGCATTGGTGATGGCTTCCAAGGCTGCAATATCGGGACTGTGTTCGTTCTTCTTGCTATTCCACTTGGGCATGGACACCTATGAGGTACAATATATTTATCTGGAGTTCTTATGGGTTACTTCGTTGAGATTTCATACCGTAAGCACTTTCTGCAGGGCTGTATAATCCAAACCCGTTCCGGCTGTTTCGCCCAAACGACGCAAAGTCTCCGCCATGGGTCCAGAAAGTTCCTGGAAAAATTAGAAAAATTAGTTTATGTTTTATTAAATATATTTTTTTATACAAACAGTATAATGTTACGAGTTATAATAATGTTAAAGTTAAATATATATTTATTGTTTATTTTGTAGATACATATTTTAATACCAAGTACCTAAATAAATATGTTAATATGCTAATAATTCAAACTTGTTCTAAAAAAAGTTGCTTTAGTTCTAAATTACTAAACTCACCTGAAGTTTGGCCCAACTAGTGGCGTATTGTCGTCTCACCAGCTCAATTATGGTCGATGTCAGGGCCAGGCCAATGAGAATGTACAACGTGCACAGCAACATATAGTTGGGTTTCTCTGAAATAGTCAAATATAAAGTAAAAAACATTCTTAAATATTTTTAAAACCTACTTGGCACCAGATCACCAAATCCGATGGTTGTCATGGTGATGAAACAAAAGTAAAAACCATCGAAGAAAGTCCAGTCATCTTCCCAGAGCAAAAGCAGACCAGCTCCAGCGGCCAAGTAAACGCCCAAAAAACCAACGGCCAAAATGGCATAGAACCAGGTCTTGCCAATAAAGTTGGTGAATTTGGGTTTGGCTGGGAGAATAAGTAGTAATTAGTAAATGTAAAATGCTTAAATCGAATAAAACTATAATAAGTTATAAAAGGCGGTAAATAACGAGAATTCATTATTTAAGCAAAACCAACAGTGCGTATTAGTAATGATTTTTAATGCAACCACCTAATATTACTCATACGCACTGATTAAGCATGCAGATATTTAATGATATTGTATAGGCAGCGTTTCCGTTCCTACATTTATGCTTTAATGTTTTTAATGCTTTAATGCTTTTTTAAATCCTTAATTTTTTTTTGGTAAAATTAATAACTTACTGGGCATATGTTTGCCAAAAACAGAGACAGCGGTGGCAAACAATCGACCCCAATCGGCAATCACTGTGAGGGTGAAGGGAATGCCGATGAGGGCGAAGCAAATGCAAAATACCCGACCACCAGTCGTCACTGGCACAATATTGCCATAGCCTGAAATATGTCAATATTAATTACTTAAATTGAGCTTGATATAAAAATAAGATTCTATCTTGTGACATGAAAAATGACACTTTAAAAATGATGATCAATTTAACGAAAACAATAATTTAGAAACATTTAGTGTTGCCAAATTTTATGAGCTAAAAAATCTAGATAAATTAAGCTTTGAATATCGTTTATTTCTGCCTATATTTATTACTGACCTATAGTGGTTAACACAGTCGATGAGAAGAACACAGCTTGCAGGATGCTCCATCGCTCGTAGGGCTCTGGAAAGTCTTTATCGGCCACTATCAGCAGCCCTCCCTCAGCCGCCTGTTGAACGGCCTTCAAAAACATAATTGATGGATGATTGGGGATGGAAAATTGGGGAAATTAGCATTGTACCAACCGCTTCATATTTGGCCAACTCGAAGGACAACAGCTCGTCGAGATTGTGGACCTCGGTGTTGTTCAATATGGTGTGCATGAAGCGTTCCCTGTGGGTTTTCACCACATCCTTGAGATGGGAAAGACGTTCTACCTCTGCAGGTCGTTCCAAGTGGCGAAATATCTAAAATAAAACAAATTGCTAATCAGTTAGAAAAAGTGTTTTATGCTGTTATAATTATAATTTTGGTCAGAAGTTGGTAACGCAGTCAAAAGACTAATTGTTTTTCGCAGACTAATTGTTTTTGTAAAAAATTTTGTAACGAATGCAACGAGGATTTCCCAGGACTTGTATCGAAAATTCGAAACTCAAGTTCCGGTTTTTTGACATACAAAAAGTGTTTTTTTTTACATAAAACTTTTAAACATTCTTAAAATGTTCAAAATCAATTGCCGGATTTGTTAACCCAAAAACTTTTACTTGAACAAGTGCAGAATAATAAATAATCATTTTTCATTACATTTATCTAGATATTCACATTCTACAAGAATAATTCTAGGAATATTGCTGAGTGCTTTTCCAAGTATTCATACAAAAACATTTAAATTCGGATAAATTTTGAACCTTACCTTGTGACCTTCACCCCGTCGACTAATAATTATTATGAACAATAACTTTACAATTATTTTTAATGAGCCAAAGAAAAAAAATTCCCATTCACTTGGAATTCAACATTTCGTTGTTTGATGTTTTAGTGATGGAAAGAAACGTAAATACAACAAAATCAAATCTTCATTCAATTTCTCACACATCATCACGAGAAATTTGTTTAACTTGTAGTATGTTGTTTTCGATATAAAAATAGTTTGTGCAAATTGATTTTGAGTTTTATTTTTAACAGCAAATCGAAAGCGAACCAGCGAGAGAAATGTTGGCGAAAAAAGCGAATGAATTTGGAAATTCAATTTAAATGTGTCAGACGATGATATTTCTTCGGCACACACAGACACACACTGTAAGTAAATTGGGGTAAGGAAGATATACGGTCAGCCTTGAGTGACTCGAAAGTGTTTGCATTGCTTGTGACTTTGACAGAGTTGCAGAAGCTTTGAATTCCTAGCACGTCTCCATTTTGATTAATTGAATTTGTGTTCTCCCATTGAGTTTCACTTTTCCCCCGCTGCACATTTTTGCATTTGGTTAATTAATTCCTGTCCTCCGAAATCAATCCCATGCCCTTTTCCCTGACCAATTTAAAGGCGACAAGTTGTCCAACTTCCACTGGTGTCATGTCACTTACATCTTGCCCATATACAGATATACTTGCGGAAGGAACCAGCAGACAGATCTGTAATTTGGTTCGTTATATCCGCAGACAGACTAACAGCTGAAAGTTTGCCACTGGCTTTGTTTCTGTGCTGGCGCATAAATTATAATTATTATTGGACATGGGTTTATCTTTGGCTCCTTTCCTTTTGTTTGCTGACCACTCTGAAAGTGGGGGATATGATGAGGCTGGGAATGTGGGAGGGCTCACTTGCCCTTGGGAAATGGGAACAGGCTCCTTCGAAAACGGTGATTTTTGATTTTTTTAAAAACGTTATATTATATTTTATTTTAAAATATCTATTATCTAATTTAGCAAAACTATTTTGCTGAAAACTTGTATATCTTTACAATTGATTTATCAAGTGCTGTGCTTTTAAACTATGATACGAAATCAAATATTAATTTTGCCAATGTGGGTGAGGCAATTAAAAATTGCGAATTAGGAAATTGGGTAAAACTATAATCCAAATTTATGACAAATGACTCGCTCTCCTAGTTTTGGCCATAAAATCACTGTTTCGCAAAGTGACTTCCTGCCCGCAACTCTTTGCTGAGGCCGGCTTATGGTAGTTGTCACTTTGTCACCCCATTTTGCACACCATAAATCACACGCAGCGGAGCCAGAGTGTTTCCCGCACCCGAATCCCCAATCCCCAATCCCCAATCCTGGGGACCCAAAACCCCCAATCCTTCCCCCTTTGGTCATCCAGCCAGCCAACATGTGCGGCAATTAACGCACGACATATGGAAATAATGGAGTGGCCCCTCCGGTGACTTATTCCGACCACCTGAACTGTGCTTCAGGATCTGCACTTTAAAAAAATTAGACTATCTTAAAATATGGAAAAGTAAATAAATGGAGATCATAAAAGTGTGTGAGGAATTTTCCACGATTTTTAAACGCTTTTCCTAGAATTAAAACCTTTGATAAAAATTGAATTGAATGTAACTGGTTTTGTAGTAATTATTATTATTGTATTATCAACTAATTTCAGTTTTGTTTTTTGTAAATTATCATTAGTTAGTAGTTATTTTTGGGTATTTAACCTATACAAAATTACATTACCTTTAAACAGAGTTAAAGCAAATCTTACTATTAAAAATTAAATTAAATCGGGTAGAAGCTCCTTTAAATATAGGTATATATAATTATAAATGTTTATCATTTTCAAAAATCAACTCTTTTTCGCAGTGTGATTCTGGCCAATTCGGGAGTGGCAGTTAAAGTACTGAAAACAGGGCTGGACCTAATCCAGATTGACAAGCCTGGCCAGAAACCAGAAAAACCCATCGTAATCCCCTTTTTGCTGCTGCTCCTCTATTTTATATTTTTTGAAAAACCACCGCCAGTGTCCAGCGCGATTTCTCTTCATTACAAAGGGGGAAAAGAAAGCAAAACAGAAATCTGAGCTAAAATGTTTTCGCAACTCCAGCTGTTGGTTGCTATTGCTTTGGGTATAATAATAATAATGATGTGCGCGCCCATTTAGCGGGCGATAATTCATTTCCGCTGCGAGCGCCCCGAAAAGCAGGCTACGGTCAGTAAACATCCCCCAGACTGAACGGCAGCCTTAAATCGGAACAAGGTCACAAATTGATTCAATACACCATCTCCAGAAGGATGAAGTGTGAGCCATGATATAGGGGGTCATATTTCAGGATCTATGGGGCGCACTAAGCCGAAATTTGGGATGAGCAAAGGAACACAAAAACCATATAGGACCTAACATTCTAGTGCTTATTATTTATGATACAAAATAGGTGCCTATAGTGGGAGTTCTATTAAGTTATATAAGTTATTATTTAATATATGGTTACAGACGGAAACTCTTATTTGAGATCAAAAATCATTTGCATAATTTATATTTATTTTATTCTAAGATTTGATAGCTCAACCAAATTCATAAAACACCGGATAATTAGTTTGGTTCATTATATAATACTCTAAATTCTCAAACAATCTTATATCTGATGATGTATTTATTTAAACCGATAAAAACTGTAATGCTCAAACAAAGCAAACATCGCGGTTTATAGACGGGCTCACTCAGCGAACTTGAAGAAATAACAATAAATCTTTGCATTCCGTATTTATGATTATTTACCAGAAGAGAACATTATTACGAGGGCCGTCAGCTAAAAAAAATCAAAACAAATGCGCTCCAATGCGTAATAAATACAAATGGATATTATTTATTGAAAATTAGTTCCACCAGGGGCGGCGGCAATGACCTCCAGTCCCCAGTCCCCAGGACCCAGTCCACAGGACCCTGACCCAAAGAAGGGCGAAAGTTTCTGAGTCCTGCCAAAACGGAAGAGTCGTGAAAATGTGAAAATGCGAAAATGGACAACGGCGTCCGCTGGGCGCCCCTTTTTTCTATAACCTTTAATATTGTTTCACTTTTCCGCCCAAAAAAAAAAAAATAAATAGAAGAAAAAAAAAACGAAACTTGTTTGTTTATGGGCAGGGAAAAACAAGAAGCAAAACACTTTTCCACATTTTCCGATTCGCCGCGCTTCTGTCGTGCGCGTTTAAAACCGCGGGCGGGCAGCGTCAGCGAATTTGGTTTGTTGATTTTATGAGTTTATGATTTGATACCAAATTAGACATAATTTCCACAAACTTGTTGTTGCATGCATAAATATAAATCGCTGTCAGTTCATTAAGTTTTGATTATTTATTGAGTGCGCCTCGCCCGTCGCAATAAAACCGAATGGCATGAGGGCTCTTACCCCGAAGATCTATTGTAAAATTTAACGATTGAACTTGCCAAGTGATTTGATGGCGAACACCAAAAACCGGGGAATTTGTGGATAATAACTAACTGAAAATTGGCAGGCTGTTTAAACTGATAAAGGGGAATGGATTATGGTGTGAGCCAAACATGGGTACCCCTCACTTACCTAAATAAATTTAATTTATTATGAAAACACCATATTTTGCCTTACATTGGGAAAATGTAAATATTATCATAGCGCTATACAATCAAATGGATTATGGGCTTTTGAGCACAAGATCCATTCTAAAATTTAAATTGTGAATTGATTTGTTGTTGTTTGATAATAAAATTAAATTCAACAAGCTGTACAAACTAATAAAGATGATTTGAAGACGATCTCCGTTTTCATACCTAAATAAATATCATGAAAACGCAATAATTTCAGTATTATAACAGAATAATTTGGGGAAGTGTTCACCAAGCTTTCCAGCAAGAATAAATGGCTTGTAAATATGAATGGTTGTCGTAATCTCGTTAATAGTTAATATCTGGGGATCCCTTCAGCCGAAACGTAATAAATTTGGTATGCAGAACAATCACAGCACGGGGCACTTGAAACAGTTGGATTTCCCGTCGAGTTACACACAAACACTTCAAGAAATCCTATTCCATTTCCATTCGCCATCCCCCCTCCCCCATTTCCCATTTCCCATTTCCCATCTCCCATCTCGTTGACACACACAACGGAAAAAGCCCAATTATAATCGTAAATATAAGCGCTTATGGCTTTTTATTGCCATCGGCACAGCAGCCCGTTGAGGACCACCCACTGCTGGCTACTCCATTCGCACTTTTCGCCACTTGACATATTTATGCGTAATTATTATGGCCAAGGCCGAACGCACCGAAATATGGCACAGTTAAAAACAAAAAAAAAAATAAAAGCTGAAAAACTGAAAAACAGAAAAAACATAACGAAAAGAGAGCAGCTCGGCAACCGAAATCAAATTAAAATCCAACGGAATGATAATGCCGGGAAGGGGAGCCCCACCTGCGGTTAATTAACCAATTCCGGGCACAATGCTGAGTAAGTGCCATTCGTGGAGCGCCTTTTGGATGTTCGTTTTATGCTAA